TGAATGAATATCCCACAGGCATCTCCAACTCTAAGTTGAGTTTCAACCTTAAGTAATTGTCCCAGCTTCCCTGTCCCAAACACTTACCCAGCTCTACACACACACACACACACACACACACACACACACACTCACTCAGTTCTCCCAACCTTAGGGAGGGCCCAGCACCACTCTGCATCCCATTTCCCATCCAGAATCTGCTAAATTACCCATGACTTTGCCCTGTTGTTGCTCGGGGTCTCCAATTGACCACAAAGTGCTATTGATTCTCCTTCTAAATATCTCTCAAGTTTATCCACTTCCCTTCATCACAACTGCCACTGCCAACTCATGCCATGATAATTTTGTACCTGAATAATGAGGATGGGCTCCTAATGGTTCTCCCTAACTCTGGTCCCCACCCAGCAGCCAGAGTAAGGTTTCTCCAATACAAATCGATTGTTCTTTTTGCACTTGAACAAAGTTGTTGCTACTTTTTGGGAATGTCAAGCTGCGGTGGAGGAACCGCGCGTCCTCCATCCAGCAGGATCTACTGTCTCCCCCTGACATAGACACTGAGCTTCGTGGGCCGCTCCATTGAACTGTGAGCAGCTTTCCATGGAGAAGGTGGAGCAGAACATGAGTGGACTTCTCTCTAAACATCTTTGATATTTTCCTCCAGGTTCTGGGATAGAGAACAGTGGATGGCGCATGTTTGAAGACAGGGTTGGCTGATGTCCTTCAGTTTGGCTAGTAAGAGCCATGGTGGGTGGGCATTAAAATGCCGTTATTTGCACTCACCGGATGGGAACAAATGGGGTATACACAAATATATAATTTGTGATTCAGTACTTGATAATTTATTTCATCTGCATGGAATACCCTCCCATATCTGTCCTACCCATGCGATTTCTTATTTTCTTACAATACCCAGTTTCCAAAGATGCCTTCTCTGAGAAAGCTTTCTTGACCTCGTGGGGGTGGATTTGGGGACTCCTCTGTTCTAACACCTCTGTGGTTGTATCACGCAACTTTGATCTATGTGTTCTTGGTGCATTTCCCACATCTGCTCACACCTGATACTCTGGAGACCACATTCCTGAGCATGGCAGCCGCTGCAAAGCTAAGACAGAGACTCAGAAGCTGGCCTAAGTGACAGGGAAAAGGATTTGTGCTAAGACTTGTGGAATGAGATTTTCTGCTCCCCAAAACCTGTAGGTGTGTCCACACCCTGGGGAGAAAGAATGATTCGTCCAAAGGTGAGGCAACAGAGCTTACAGAACCTTTACAGCTTGTGTAGTGGCCCAGGAATGAGGGTAGACCTCTCTCCATCTGTCCCTGCCGGCCACGCAGGACCTGAGCCACTTGAAACTTTTCATCAAACAAGGTAAGCAGGGGCTGGGTGCAGTGTAATCCTAGCACTTTGGGAGGCCAAGGCGGGAGGATCACAAGGTCAAGAGATGGAGACCATCCTGGCCAACATGGTGAAACCCTGTCTCTACTAAAAATACAAAAATTAGCTGGGCGTGGTGGTGGTGCCTATAGTCCCAGCTACTCGGGAGGCTGAGACAGAAGAATCGCTTGAACCCAGGAGGCGAAACCGCTTGAACCCAGGAGGCGGAGCTTGTAGTGAGCCGAGATGGCACCACTGCACTCCAGCCTGGCGACAGAGAGAGACTCCGTCTCAAAAAAAAAAAAAAAAATTACTGGGTATCTCAACTGATGGCAAGTTTGCCTTAATTTTTCTGATTACTAAAGAGAAGGTGTCTATCGCCCACCTTTATTCCTCTCTGCTTAGAGGCCTCTGAATTAGTTAAGATTTGTTATACAGAAGATTTAAAGCCAGTCCTTAAGCCAGGTACCAACTACTGTTGCTTCTGCTTTGCTCACTTCAACCAAGTCAGCCTCTTTCCTTCCTTGTTTATTCTAGACTTGGATTAAATCTTGTGAAAAGCGGTCGCCATTTTTCTTTTCTGTAAAATTTTTTAAATTAATACCTCTCCACTCACGGCATTAACATTATTGGCCCATGAAAGACATTTCTCTTGAAATGTTGAATTGTTTATCAGTTGCCTTTTCCCTGTCCATTATTGCCAGTCTTCCTTTGAAAGGAATTTATTATTTTGATAAACATTATTATGATTTTGAACAATGTACTTTACTTATCATGTATATATTGGTCTGTATGTAAATAATGGAATCATATGGACATGGAGGCTTAAAGTCTGCTTCTTCCAAACAGTCCTACTGTGTATTATTAGTTTTATCAAACACCATTTTAAGTGATTGGTTCCTATTCCATTTTACAGGTGCACCATAAATTTAACTCATCCTATGTTGCTGACCATGGAGATGGTTTCCAATTTTTGGCTTTTATAAGTAACACTTGATGGTCACTCTTACAGCTAAATTTTTGCCTACTCTCATTATTATTTTCTTTGGATTTGATGAGTAACTTTACATTTGTGTTTTAAGGCTTTCAATACAGATTGCTAACTGTACTCAAGAAATGTTTTACTAATTTCTATTATATTAATAATATAATTATTACTAATTAATAATTAATAGATGCTAGATGTATATGTGATGTTCATCTCTCTCATACACCTCTTATCTTATAGATTCTCTGGTTTGTATAAGAGTAGAATGTATCTCTTACGAAAAAACTTCATGTCTCATATAACCAATTGGTAAATACACGTGAATAATGTTTCCATGAAATTCCAGAAGCCTTTCTTTTCTCCCAACATTTAACAGAGGCCTTTTGCTAACAAACTTCAGTGCTTTTTAAATAAATGTTAAATACATTTTAAAATCATCTTTCAATTATCTTTTGAATCTTCAGGTTTTCCTGACACAAGAAGTCTGTCTTTTCTCCCAACATTTAACAGAGGCCTTTTTGCTAACAAAATTTAGTGCTTTAAAAAAAATGTTAAATACTTTTAAAAATCATCTTTCAATTACCTCTTGAATCTTCACATTTTCCTGACACAAGAAAGTCTTTCTTTTCTCCCAACATTTAACAGAGGCCTTTTTGCTAATAAAATGTAGTGCTTTTAAAATAAATGTTAAATACTTTTTAAAATCATCTTTCAATTATCTCTTGAATCTTCACATTTTCCTGACACAAGAACAGAAGGATATATGATCAAAGAAAGAAAATACTGTTTGTATTTGCTTTCTTCTCATTTGGGAATTAGAGAGAAAAAAATGTGTAGAAATATGCTAAGTATGTAGGAAACACTAAGAAATGTAAAGTGACATAGAAAAATATAATAATAAGCCAGTAATTATAAATGCAACCCATGGAAATGAAGGTGCCCTGCATAGAGGTGTGTAGCACACAGCGATTATGGCTTCTGACACACACTTCAAGGGCCGCTGAGAAAGAATCTGGATCTGGAATGAATTTACAGCAGAAGAACAGATCATCATGATGGACAGGTGGCAGGACTAGATTGCAGCTCGGAACAGGGCAGCATGTGGGGCTCGCGTTGTGAATTTTAGCTCCAGATATACTGCAAGAACAAACCAGCAGTCCTGAGAGGACCCACAGACCTTCTGAAGGAAGTGGACTGCTCCTGCAGGACCCGGGAGACCTCCGCAAAAGTGTGAGTGCCCCAACTGCAGAAGTGGAAAAGGGAGACCCTCCTCTCCCAAACACACACCCCACTGGGGAAGCTGAAGGTCTGTTTGCAGAAGGATTTCCAACTTCACCTGGAACTGAGTCCGTCTGGAGAGCCAGGAGAAATACAGGGGTAGAGAAAGCAGCGGAAAGGCCCGAGGGGCTGGCTGGGTCCCAGAGCAGCCCATTCCTGCTGGCACCACAGGCATCCATGGGGAGAGGAGGGGGGCAAAACTCCACAGGGAGAAGGAAATCTCTAACGGAACTTTGTAACAATTTGAACTGGGTGAGAATCCTCCTGGCCAGAAGTCAGAGGAGAGCACGAATCCGGGGTGCAGCCTCCACAGGAGGGGGAAGAACCAAGGCTTTTTCTCTCGCAGCTGGGAGGCGGGTAGCCTGGGGTAGGTTTTCAAGCCGGTTTCCCTCTCCGCCTGGAAACGGACTGGGGACTGCTGGGGGTTCACGGGGGCAGTGAGACTGGCCCGTCGGTTTGCATGGGAGCTGGGTGAGCCCTGTGATTGCCGGCTTTCCCCCACTTCCCTGACAACCTGCATGATTCAGCAGAGGGAGCCATAATCCTCCCAGGTACATAACTCCAGTGACCTGGGAATCTCACCCCCAGCCCCCACAGCAGCCGCAGCAAGGCCAGACCAAGGAGAGCCTGAGCTCAGACACTCCTACCTCGCCCCCACCTGAGGGTCCTTCCCTACCCACCCTGGAGGCAGAAGACAAAGGACATATGATCTTGGGAGTTCTAGGGCACCACCCACCACCAGTTCCTCTCCACACCACCACAGCTGATGCTCTCTGGAAAGCGCCACCTCCCAGCAGGAGGCTGTAACACCAGCACAAAAATAGAGCATTAAACCTTCACAGAGTCCATTGCACTCTCCTTGCCTCCCATCGCCACCTCCACTGGAACAGGCGCTGGTATCCACGGCTGAGAGACCCATAGACGGTTCACATCACAGGACATTGCAGACAAACCCCAGTACCATTCCGGAGCCGGGTAGACTCACTGGGTGTCTAGACCCAGAAGAGAGACAACAATCACAGCAGTTTGGCTCTCGGGAAGCCACATTCGTAGGAAAAGGAAGAGAGTACTACATCAGGGGAACATCCCAGGGGACAAAAGAATGT